AGAGAGAGAGAGAGAGAGAGAGAGAGAGAGAGAGAGAGAGCATTACATGACTATGGTTGTATGCGTGCGTATACAAACATTTTATAGAAACAGAAAAACACAAAAACACATAAATAAAAAGTGCATTAAATTGGAAGAATGATAAGCATTATCATAAATATATTTTGTAAAACATTTTACTTGTTTTAACAATTATATGATTAACTTGAGCCAAGAATTAAGGCCCATTCTCTCACTTTTTGGATAGCTAAAACAAAGCACTACTTTGTGCTAAATAAAGTTTTAAAATCAACCTGAGAAGTTAGTGAGATCCTATTGCAAATGGAAATTAGGAAGAATGCTTGAATTAAGGACTGGTCTCATGTGTACAAGGTCTGGTTCAACATTAAGTACTGAACACAGAATTTGCAAAATATAGAAAATTAGGTTTTTATAATATATGTTATTACTTTATGTAATAAATAATACAGAAACCTAGGATTATTAACAATAAAAATTAAAATAAATGGTTCTTAGCAATATCTAATTTAAATTACTAAGTCATCATAACATTACCTTGATTATATTATTATACAAATCAACTAATTACTTACTTCAAACTTCAAAGAAGTTTAGGTAGAAATTTATCTTTGTCCTTATAATCAAAAATGTCTTTAGGAATAATTATTACAAAGTCAATACAAATAGCCTAAGAAAAAAAGTTAAATAACCAAAAATTTTCTGCAATGAAATTATTGAAACTTGTATTACAAGAACTGTGAGGATGATGTAAACATACTAGCAGTATCTGGTTTATGTTTCCTAGTCATTCAGAAAAACATCATTAAGTGAAATTACACCATATAAAACACACCACATATATTATAGGAGTGAGGAACTGGAAGAGAACTGTCGATTGTTCTTTGGTTGTGATGCAGATCTTCTCAAGTGTAGTTTTTTTATATATAAATTATTTTTATTTTCTTTATGATTGCGTTGTTTCTATGGAGTCTTGTAATGTTCCTGATGAATTTTAGGATTTTTTTTCTGTGAAGCATTTTTATTGGTAAATTGATTGAGCTATATTGAATCTATATATAACTTTACATAGATTGGGTCTTTTAAAAAATAAGAATATTTCCAAGAATAAAGCATATACAATTGTTTATTCAATTTACTGTAAGCTATATTTTATAGTTTTTATGTGTGTGTGCAGATATTCCCTCTGCTTTAGCTATTTAGGAATTGTTTCCTTAATTAATTTTCAATCATGTTGACAGTGCTAGCATATACAAATTTTGCGTATTAGTGTGTTTACTGATTTTGAGTTCTGTTACCTTTTATAATCATTTATTCTATCAGCTTTTTGGGAATATTTAGGGTTTTAAAGATAATATTATGAAAACAAATACAAGTTGGAGGTGAGTTTGAAGTGAGTTATAATTCTCCTACATAACTACTGTAGTTATGATTTTCAATATTATATTAAATAAAAGTGGTAAAACAAAGCAAAATAAAAAACAGACAAACAAATATAAAACCCAGTCAATTTTGTATCATTCACTTGCCCCTACCTTTCACTATAATGTATCTGTGTGTTTGGTAGACATGCTCTCTGTATCAATTCTTAAGCTAGTGTACACTAGAGCTGGACTTCTTGTATTATGTTATACAATTCGTAAGGCAAAGTTATAATGACCGAAGCAACATGGTTCTACATTTTCCTGAGTGTGTACTTCCTAAATTCTGCTGTGTTTGCTTTTGAGAACTAGATATCTAAGAACTTGGGGAGTTGATGACAAAGACTCTAGCCAACTTTTCCATCTTCAGATTCAAACAACACATAGAGTAGCATTGTGACATGAGAATAAATTGGTATTTATAAATGGTTTGTTTAATCCAACCTTAGATCCTATCTTTTAGGATCTGACTTAATATATTTCGTATTTTATAGTCCTTTCATTAATCATATGGAATGAAAGTCCAAGTATTCCTTGCCCATATTCATTTTGTTAGTTTAAATGAAAAGTGGTTTCCCCCAGCTTTGGACACCAGAAGTATTGAATCTCATTCTCAGTTTTTTTTAGGAGGCTCACGCAGACAACAGCATCTGCAAACATTAAGGTGGGAGCCCATCTTCTAATCTCCATATAAGACATGGCTGAAACATCAGTAGTGTGATAGTTTGGCAACATAGTTTTGCCATCTTCATTCAATGGTGTCAGCCTTGAACTCTTGATCTCGCTGGAGATATTTTGGTATCTGGGACCTACATGATGACTACTGGGACCTACATGATGACTATTTTTTTCATTTGGTTTTTAAGGTCTCTAATATTTTTCCATTGAACTGTTCAGTGACTATCAAGATGTCAATGGGAATTTACTTTTTTTTGTAGATAGGCAAGTCTTGATACTCTCATAAGCCATATGAACACATACATAATTTTAAATTGGCATCTTCAACAATGTCTCATTAACCAATACAGTATCACACATTAAACCCTTCGTATATTGGCGAATAATTACAAGTAGCAGTCTGTCTGTCTATCTTTTTGTCCATCTGTCTCTATCTATCTATCTATCTATCTATCTATCTATCTATCTATCTATCTACTTTCTTTCATCTATTTATCACATATCATCTGTTTATCTATATATGCATGTATTAATAAATACAGTAAGGCTCAAAAATGTCTAGAGAAACTGCTAAAGACCAATTTTCCACACCATATGTTGAGGTTGAAGCAGTCTCTTCTTGTTTAAAAAAAGTGAATTCTGCACTATGAATAAACATCACAAATCTTTAATTTTATATGCCATTGATAAAAATTATAAATATATTTAAAAGAAATCTGTGACTTGATCTTTGATCACTTGTCTATTCACATTGCCACACCCTGAGCTGATCATGGAACATATTTCTGCAGTCCTCCACTAAGTGGCTCATTTCAAAGTATTCTTACTCCTTTACAGCACAGCACTTCTGTTGCCAATGTCACCTTGACCCGGATAGTCTTTCCCTTTTTACTGGCCCCATTTCTTCTTTCTTATTCAGTGCCTGTTCAAAAGCTCACATCTATTTGAAGCTTTCCCAGGAACTCCAATCAGAAATCAATTTCATGTTGCCAAGTTTTTGATTTCAAGTTCTATTGAAACTCATACGTATTGAACTCTAACTTAGGTAATAACTGGGTATCTTTCTTGTTCAACCTTTCATCCCTGAGATCCAAAAGAGTATATTGCACCTAGATGAAACTCTCCACACATTGGTTGAACGAGTAGTTAACTTGTGCTTAAAAATTGGTCAAACAGATTTTAAAGAATATCATTATTAACATAAGTTGTTCTTTCCTTATGGTATGGTAATTATAAAATCAAAAGACTTTGTGATTAGTCACTGAACATTTCTGTCTGATTAAGGAATTTTCTAATTATATAGCAATATGTACACCCTTCCAAGATATTTCATGGAGAGAAATAGGTTCAGAATCAGTTGATAAACTGAGTATTTCAAATCAACGAACTTAGAGCTGTTTTATGGTACAATACTATCTGTTCACATAGACAACTGGATGGATTATGATTCTCTATCTATAAAATTCTGCTCAATTGACACAGCTTAACCTCTAATCAGGTCACTACTCTTCGAAGTGACTTCTTGAGTTTTATCTCTGACATAGAGGGAAATATAGGTGGCAGCTTTATGATATTTGTGAGTTAAATCAATCTTGGAAAGAAAACTGAAACATTGAATTTGACAGAGTCTCTATAGGTTAAAAAGATGAGTCAAATATGACAACCTGAACTTTAAAAATGGTAAGTACAGGCCTTGACCTGAGGTTAAAAGAAATCAATTGTTCAGTGCCAGTATCTGAGACCTCACTTAATAGCAAGAAGGAAAAAAGAAGCATGTCAAATAAGTTACCAGAAAAATGTTAAAAATGTTATTTATAAAAATTGAATGCCTAAAATAGTCAAGGTACTTTTCTACTCACCATACATTGACTCATGATATCAAATTTGTGTAAGTAACTAAAAATACATTGCCATATTAACATCTATTGAAAATAAAATCAGCCAGGATGAACTATGTTAAGGCTATAATAACAGCTATCTTCTACCTTTGAGCACTTGCTTTGTGCTTGGGGGTTTGAAAGCAAAAACTCATATTGTCTTATAGCAGTCCATTTAGGTAAACCCATGTATGTCTTTTGTGGCACATGGCAAAGAAACCAGCGCCAAATAGAGGTCCCCATATTTTAGCTGCTGGATATGTCATTTGATAATAGCTTTCTTCTCTCAAATTCCTTCAAATTATCCAAGACAAGAACTCAAGAGAAAGACCTGTTAGTATTTAAAGAAATATATTGTTATCATGATTGCAACATTATATGTATTATATATGAACAAACTCAGTGTATTATAATATACAATATTATACCTTTCCATTAAAAGCAGAATAGAAACCTGATTCTCTATGTTCACAGGGAGAAAATGGTGATGCTTGTTGATGTGGCCTACTCTGGGAAGTCCTTTGTACTAGTTTCCGTGTTCTCATGCTCATTGTGAAACCATAAGTTGCTCATAGTTGTACACAAGCATGTCTAAATGTATATCTGACAGTCCCTGAGTATCCATTCTATCTGGCATAGATGAAAATAACATTGAATGAAGTTTTTGAACTGTATGAGAATTATGGTCACAACTAAATATGGTTCAATTAAGCTAAATATGTCTGTCATAATGTATTTATCAAGCCATTCTTCAGCAAAGAAAATAGCAAAATGGAGCATAAAGCATAATCTGTGCAATTCACAAAAGCAAACAGTTGCTTTCTGTGTGCTCTATCTCCATAATATTATAGAATCAAAATACTACTATTTACCATCATCATGTACAGGACAATGTTCTAACATTTTTAACATTTTTAAATATATTTTGTAAGTAGCAACATTTCTAAATAAAAAATATGCCTTCAATGTAGGAAGCAGTATTAACAGTCAGTGATTTTATACAATATCTAAAATGCCATTTATTAACAATATTTGAACCACAGATAGTTATTTTTTCAATATTACATTATTTTGTCTCAAATGTATATATATATATATATATATTAGGTTATTCTGTGCTCTTTTGAATGGCTCTCAAAGGCCACATATCTTATTTTCTCATTATTTGTATTGAAAATTCATATATTGATTAATGAAATATATGATAGGTTTTCAATTTTAAAGTATTCCCTATAATGACAAATTAGAAATAATTTTAAATTATATTTATTGCATTATTTTCTCATGGAATTTTCACACACTTTCAGTAGAAGAAACTCATGACTATTGAGTGATTTGTACTAGATTTCAATAAAACTGACTTAATTATGAATGTTTTGATGTATGTATATTTTGAAGTGTTCTTTTATATTATTGTAAATATAATTTTATCTCAAATATATATTACCTATTTTAAAAACCTAACATATATATAAGGCGTAATTAAATTTAAAGTGAGCTCCAAATATTAAATGGATTCTAAATGTTCACTATTCATTATGTAAAATGTTTTTGTTCTAGTTTGTAAGTCTTTTATTCTTTTAAATAATTTCTCATATCATGATTTATGAAGCTATAAATATTGTTGACTACATGTAAAATTAGTGGATAAAACTTTATTAACTTAAAACTCCGTTTAAATATAAAGTTATTTTATGAATATCAAATATTACTATCCTGTACTCACCTGCTAACTCAAGAATATATTCCTGAAATCTTGTGCCTATGCGGTTAGTAGCAGTGCAGTTATATCGTCCAAAGTCATTGTCTGATGTAGGAGCAATCTACAAATAATCATATTAATAAAAATTAAAAGGCTAAAACATCAAAGAATATTTTAAAATCTGAACCATGGCTACTACTTGTATACTTGTTCAATTATTTTTCATATGGCTACTCATAGAACTCTTTATCCAGCAAGCATTACTAAGTAGTGCAAACATATTTAACAACTATTATTTTTTGTGACTTTAAAAATGTCACATAACCTTTCCATTCTTTTTGTTCTCTCCAAACATGCCCATATAATCTCCTTTCTGTCCTTCAATACATGGCTTCTTTTCTTTAATTGTCTTTACATAAATACCTGTATGCATATTCTTATTTCTAAATGCATACATGACACCTGCTCAATTGGTATATTGCTAACATTTTACAGAAAAATCCACAAAGCTGGTCATTATAAGTTGAAGTGATTCAGGCTCTATCTATAAATTCATTAATTGGATCAATGTCTTCACTGTGATGCATCTAGTCAATAGCAAAATTATTTATTTTCTGATAAGTAAAGCATGTAGAAAATTTATCTTGTAGTCATTGTAACTCATAGCAACTGTAAACTTGAAAACAAAATGTTTCTACTAAAAATAGGTTCTATATTGTTTTCTTTCTTTAGTAGCTTTTGTTTTGAGTTCTTTTGTTGGCATGGTCTCAATCTGTATCCCATGCTGACCTCAAATTCACTATAAGCTTACTGAGGATGACTTTGAACTTTCTGTGATACCCTTGACTCTGACTTTGAGGTGTTGAGAATATAAGCAAGCCACTATGCCTAGTTTTGGATTCATTGTTTATCTTCAGACCTGGTTGATTTTAATTTTTCATGAAAGATATTTTGCAAAAAAAAAAAAAAAGAATGCCTTGTAAAAGTGCTACAAACAGAATTTTAAAATCTGTAATAATTACCTCGGTTCCATTTTCTGTTTGTTTAGAAAAAGATCTGACCTCAGTTTCACAGATTAAAATCTATAATTAAGTTAATGTTCAGGGCTTTAACTGTTGAAAGTTGGGGACAATTCTTTATAACTCTAATGTGCAGAAACTTTTCAGTTGCAGTTCTTCAAAGATATTTGATGATGATACAAATAATTTTCAATTCTGGTAATCATTTAAAGAGAGACTATGCTAATAACAAGAAATGACCATTAATTTCAACCATATCCTAAAAGAGAGAGAAATGACCTTATGGTAATGGGAAGTTATTGAACAGAGAACAATTTTTGAGGTCTACTGAAGATGATTATTCTGAACAAGTAGAGTAGAAAGCACTGTCTTTCATTGCTGGTTAGCAGTCCATCTAAAGAAAGTTCATAAACTTAACAGTTTAGTGCACTGTTTAACTCCTTTGAAAGTTTCTAAGATGATTTAGAAGCTCATTATCTTCACATATGACTTTTAATAAACCAATGTAATTTACTAATTATAATTCTATTACAAATAGGCTAGAAATTTTTTTTCTTATCCCACAGTCATGTGAGACTCTAGCAGAGGTTTTGTTTGTTTTAAAAATTAATAGTCTGTAAAAAGACATTTCCTCTAGAAACATTTTCAAAAGGCTCAGTTTACAAATAAGAAAACTGGCTGGATGCTGAATTGAGAACTTAACAGGAAATAATCGCTGAATTCATAGATTGCCCCACTCCTGGACCAAAGCAACCAAAAGGCCTGGGATTTACAAATTTATGACAAGAAATTGCTTTCTTATGCTATCGTTAATAAAAACAGAAATCACTTAACAGAGCACAGATTGAAAGAAACAGCAAATAGGTGGGTATCAGGGAAAAAATGAAGAAAGTAAATAAGGAAACAAACAAGGAAGAATTAACCAAGCCTTCTTAGAAAGCAATATGGATCTTTCATCGAGCAATGGTTTTCACAAGGAATTCATTGTGATATTTGGTTTTGACTGACAATATCTCTATACTTAGGATAGCCTGTGGGTGTCCCTACGAGTATGTTTCTTGAGTGGCTTCTTAATCTGGGCAGTACCATCCTATTGGCTGGGATTAGGACAAAAAAAATGAAAAAAATAGTAAAAGCCATCCAGTACAAACATCCTCTTGCTTTCTGCTTCTCGTCTTATATAAACAGACTTCTCTACTACTTTGTCACACCTTTTAATGCTCTGTACAAGTGTATAATGCTAAACTACTACTACCTAAACAGTCTGGAACTCTGTACCAAAATAAATCTTATATTAAGTTATTCTTTCTAAAGTTTAGTGATAATGTTAGAAAAGTAATAAACTAAACAAGTGAAAGATTTTTAAAAAGAGCTTCACAAAATATAAGGTAAATAACCAAAAGTATATTATCAAATATTAAGTGAAAATTTAAATAGTTCCAACAATTACATAATCACTGATATCCACCAAAGTGCCTTATTTGGAAACTTATTCTAGAATTACACATTATTAACCACTGATAGCTTTTATATGCCTATCAAAGAATAACAGTTGTAAATAAATAGTCAGTGGAATTATCATTATTAAAGTTAAATATTTGACTCTTAAAAACTAAAGCATTATATCAGTTCTACATTCTTCTCTGAAACGAAAATCATCATACTTTACTTTCAAAATTTGAGTTCATGTCAAATATTTCTGGATATATGAAGACAGATCATTCATAATAAATAGAATTTTGTGCCAACACAAATTAATTTTTAAAAGGTAAATATATAATTTACATGATTATTTCAATGTATTATTATAGAAATTTTATTCTATTCTTTCATAATAACTGCTAAAAATATCATTATTGATGTTTATGTAAAAGCTTACCTCGAGTATCAACTTTCTTCCTACACTGTGAGTTTTTAAATGAGTTGTATTTTTAGCTGGTAAGACCAATTTCTCTCTTCTCCAGTGGATTGATGCAGGTGGATTTGCTTTCACATCACAACTTATATTGATTGGATTTCCTTCCCAAGAATAATACATTGTCTGATTTGAAACAAACTTAGGAGCATCTGTAAGATAATAATATACAAATGGACATTATAATATCATGATTTAATTAGGACAAATATTTGTAATTTTTTCTTGCCAACATAAAATATACATAATAGGAGACAGAGATATGGATCAGTGAATAAAGGTAATGGCTTTTCTTTGTGATGTCATAGGGTGATTTCTGGCACCCTTACCATTCACCTTTTACCATTTCAGTTTCAGGAAATTCCATACTCTCCATAGGCAATATATACATATAATGCACAGAATACATTCAGAAAAATAAGTAAATATAAATAGAATTCATAACATTTATAATTTTGTAACTTTTATATTATATTAAGACTCATGAAAATATATGGCATTGGATATTTACATATTTCAAACAAAAAATGGTGAATTGTTCAGATAAGAAAAATATTTAGAACTAAACTTACTGTTAATGTTCTGATTATTTATTGGTTAGAATTAAAGAATACATAGCCAGGATTTCTGAAAGCCTCCATGATGTAGAACATGATGTGTCTCATTCTGAGAGTTTAAACCATTATTTAACAAAAGTCAATGGTTCTGCTACCAATATTCAATATTGTGCTAGTTACAACATTCTACAAATATTATGCGGCATGTGAGAAGCCTTAGTTTTCAGAACAAGATTATTCAGTCTTTCTCTAACCATTCCTATATCAATTTTAATGATACTATTCTAATACCAGTTCCTGTAAAAATAAATTATTTGACTTAAAGTGCATTCATATTTGCATACAAAACTGTATAATACTCCATTCTGTGCCTTGCTTACTTCACTTAATATACATTCTCTAAATAACTGCTGTAATTAAAAAAATTATCCATTTATGTATTTACTTGAGGTCACTCATAAGTTAATTGAACAGATTGGTTGCGTCCAAATCCTGGCCCTGTGAAGTTTGTTGCCATGAATTGAGAAAGAACTGTTTTCCCTTTCTTTCAATATACATACACTAATGGAACTGCTCTATCCCATTTTTTTCTATAATATTAAAGAGTATGTGTGTGTTTAACCTCCTTACTGTTTTCTATGACACCTTTTCCTCTTTATGTCTTTCATGTCAAACTGACAAGGACATGAAAACTTAATACTATCTACTCACACTGAGGTGGCGTGAGTATTTTTTGTGGTTTGAATATACACTTTCCTAGGCTACTGTGAGCATACATCTTTTAAGAGATCCATCCCAAGGAGAGGCACCAAGGCCTGACACTCTTACTGATGTTATGGTCTGCTTACAGATGGGAGCCTAGCATGGCTGCCCTCCGAGAGGCCCAACAAAGAGCTCACTGAGACAGATGCTAATACTTACACCTAATTAATGGACTGAAGTTGAGGACCACTGTGTTTGAATTAGGGAAAGGCTGAAAGAATATGTGGAGGAGGGTGGCCCCATAGGAAGACCAGCAGTCTTAACTAACCCAGATCCCTGAAATTTCTGAGACACAGAGCTACCAACCAGGCAGCATACACAAAGTGATATGAGGTCCCTGACATATACAGAAGAGGACTGCCTGGTCTGGCCTCAGGGAGAGAAGATGCACCTAACCCTTGAGAAACTTGAGGCCCCAGGCAAAGTGGCAAAGCCTGGCGGGGTTGGGGTTGGGGGTGGGAATATCCTTTTGGAGATGGGAGAGGAGGAATAGGATGAGGAACTGTAAGACAGTAGACCTGGAAGGTGATAGTGACTGGATTTAAAAAATATATATTAAAGACAATTTAAAAATAATAAATTAATAAATGAATAAAATCGATTTAACTCCACTGACTATTTGAAAATCTGGTTGCAGTCATATTTTTTGTTAAATAGGTTTTCTTGCTCCTTGTGCATTATTTTTTTACTGTTAATGTTTAATTTTCTCAGATTTTCTCCAAAGCTGTAGTTGATCTCTCCTGTTAATTTCCGTTGTGTGGAAGCTTTTTAAATAGTCTCAACTGTTTGCCTCTCACTTTCTCACATTGCACGTAGCATCTCATCTAAATATTTAGTGAAAAAACATTCTCCATTTTTCATGACTTGACAGCTTCAGTTCTTAAATTTAGGTCTTTAGTCATTTTACAACTAATTGTTAAATTTTTTCCTTGATACTTTTTTACACTTATATGTAATATATCCTGAGTACTCTTTTTGCCATTCTTGCCTGCCTCTCCTCTTCCTCACAGATTTGTTTCTTATATTCTCGACTATTCATGTTTGAGACGAATTTATTTTAATGATGGTCATTGGTGTAATAAATAGAATGTAAAGCAATTCATTCAAACTAGATGAGTTCTGTGATTTATATAAAACTGGAGACAATGACACTCCCTCAGAACCTATTGTCAGACAATACATCAACAGTAAGAGGTAGGGGATTCTCAAGCATTTCTTCCATTTATGACTTGTATTACCATTGCTTGCTCTATGCATACCAACAGCAACTATTCAACATTAGTATGTTCATGATTACAGAAGTTGTTTCAAATCTGGGATTTATTTTGCAAGATAAACATATCACTTTCTCATAAATATTTCACATGTGTACTTTGAGTTTTCAGTACAATTTATTACAAACATGGTCATTTTTGCAATAAATGAATATTATTGATATCTTTATTAAAACAATGCTGACATTTGTTTTGATTTCAGGCTCTGTACTCTAATAAACCCACATATTCATGTATATGCATATAGATATGCATATATATGATTATATCAAATTCAGGCTGTATTAATACAGTACTGAAATATCTTGTGCATTGGTCAGAATTGATAAGATTAACCAAACACATGACAAGTACTAGAGAGGAAGGAGAGGAAAGAGAGAAGAAGAACTCACAAATAATATTGGCATAACTGCAAACAGCTTCAGTCATACTGGATTTCTGTGTGGAAAAGTCCCAGAAGGCTACATATAAACTTACCACTTGATTTCTATCAATCCTTGGCATATGTCCAATGATGCCAACAGCTTATGCCATAGATACTCAACCATACTTCTTGCTAAGCTATTCACAAGTGTAAAGGAAATGAAAACAACTCAAATGTCCTTCAACTGATAAGTTGATAATAGAAATGTGGAGCACATATAATCCAGTAGCTTCACACATTTACCTATCAGGAGGAAATAAGGAGAATAAGTAGAACCCAGAAGGGGTCTACAGGATTAATTCACGAGGGAGGTCTACAAAGGATGACAGAGAGACAGGAGAAAAATGGTACTAAGGACATCTGAAAAATGCATAATGAATCATATTATTTTATTCTTATTAAACATGCTGTGTGTGTGTGTGTGTGTGTGTGTGCGCGCACGCGCATGTGCACACACACACACGCTAACCATCAAGAGCCATAGACCATCTAAAATTTTATATTAGCCATGAGTACCTGTTTTTCATATTTTTGCTTCCGGAGTACAAGAAGTAGTCAGGACAATATGCTATTGTTGTAGTCCTTGGTTGCCTCCCTGGCACTGAAAGTAAATCTCTGATTCCAAAGGTGCCATCCTCCTCAGATACAGGACTTGGAAGCTCAGAACTCAGATATGACTTGGAAGCTTTCTCTCTGAGCACTAAGTTCCATAACAACAGAGGATGCTATGCAGGCATCCATAAGAAAAAGTTCTACTCAGTTGCAATGCTAAGGAACCCCACCAATGATCAACAGGACACAGTAACCCTTTGTGTAGCAGTGGCACTTCTGTCTTCGTGGTAACCAAGGTTGTCTCATTGAACTAAGTCCTGCTCAATGGGGGTCTGTTGGAGAATCATGTCTGGAACTGGAAACCTAGCCAATCCCCACCACCCCAGGGTAATGAGCTTATATATCTTAGAGGCGACCCTCTTATGATCACTTTACTAAATCAGTGCAATCCATAACTGTATACTAAAACTTTATTCTTATACCCATAGATAAATGTAGCTGTCAGTATTCTTGGCAACAGATGGAGACCATTATAGAAAACCACCTGCTCAAAATGACAGATTGTTCTTTCTATATAAAAAGATAAACTAGTGTTTTAAGATATATATATATATATATATATATATATATATATATCACAATTTTTATATGTAGACATCCATTTAGAGGCACTTAGGTTGATTCCATATTTTGACTAATATAAATAATACATATATCTTTATCATGTGCATTTATTTTCCTTTGGTCATATACCATCAGTGGGATAGCTAAATCACACATTAGTTCTACCTTAATTTTGGAGTTAATTTTCCATGTGGTTTCCCATGATAACTGTCCCATAAAAAGAGTACTCCCAAAAGTGTACTTGAAAACATCTTTCTTCATATAATTTTTAGCCCTTACCTATTATCTTTTTTTTGTTTGTTTTTTGAGACAGGGTCTCTCTGTGCAGCCCTGGCTGTCCTGGAACTCACTCTGTAGACCAGGCTGGCCTTGAACTCAGAAATCCACCAGTCTCTGCCTCCCAAGTGCTGGGATTAAAGGGTGCGCCACCACCTCCCGGAATCTTTTTTTATAATAAATAAAATAATTGAGATCATATCTAATTGTTAATTTCATGTACATTTCTTAATAACTAGAGATATTGAAAACCTTAAAGATCATCTTTTGGATGTGTATGTTTATTTTTTTGTTGTCAACTTAGGGTATTTTCTGACTTTTAATCAGGCTGTTTTCTTGTAATTGAGTTGTTGGTAGGTTCTACTGTGATCTATCAGTGATGACAACCCAGGAAAAATGACTATCTCAGCAACACTGTACATAACAGTTAAAAAACATGCAAGATGGAGAATACATGCTCCTGGGAATGCTCTCTTGGACTTCATATGTATTATCATAATTAAATTTTATTCTTCCTTGTTAAATATAATTAGTTTATTTTGGGCATGAAATCATTAAATTTTAACAATAATTACTATTAAGAAAATGTATAGAGATAAGTGTAAAAATGATTTCTTTCCTTGTGAGTGAATTATGAATACTGAAAATTGGGTATGAATTCCTATCTTTTCCTGTACACATGT